CTTGTTTTTTTTTAAAGATACTTCTTTTGTATGTCAGCACTTCTAAATAATCTCTTCTAATATTGAGAGGAAAACCTTGTTTGTCAATCAAAACATGTTCTTTTAAGCATGTGAGTGAATTTCTGTTTTATATTCCTTTTCATCCATTTCTGAAAGAACTCACACCCAGAATTAACCCAGTGTTTATACTGTGAAAACACTTGGCAAATGAAGTTCCTATTTTTTGTTTCACAATGATGCTTGAAGGCTCCAGCTACAACACAGAATCCATGTGGCTAGCTATTATACTAGCAACTACTGTCCTATGGAGAAGTAGCACCAAAAAAGAGGAGGAGAAAAAAAAATGTAAAGAGGTAATGTGCTGAATATTACCTAATAGGTCAGTAACAGAGCTAGCAGAAAGGATTGAGAATATCTATCATCTCAGATGTACCAAGTTACTAAGCAATTCCTATTTCAAAGGAACAACTACATGCTAGGAAAACTAATTTTAAGAGTTGAATTCAGTAAGAACTGTATATCAGTCTTCCCTCAAGGCTTTCAACAGCACAAGAGCTTCTCCCACAGAAAGCTACACCAACACAAAAAGCACTATCAAAGCTAAACTATCAGTGCTCAGAAGTCAGAAACACTGGAAAGACACCACAGTTACCCAAGCCCCCTTAAGGTAAAGTTTAAGGAGAATAATACTTAAGCCATCTCATGCAATCCTTCTCCAGTATTTTTTTTCCTCTGTTTTCCTATATTTCACTTTAACAAAACTAAGTTCACATGCTCAGACCATTCCCTAAAGTATCAAAATTGTACAGGCTTTAAAACTATGAAACAGGTCTTCTCAGAAACATTCTTTAAAAACTAACACTCTACTACCTGGCAGCAAAAACTCAGGTTATTTTTGTTAAGTGAAAGCCTCCCTGGTTCTTCAAGTACCATTGTATTCTACTAACTACTCTTTACTTACTTTATTCTGTTTGTAAAAGTGCTACTTAAATGTTACATGCAATATTACCATAAAATAAATCTTGCACCTTTACATGTTTGGTACTTACTGCTTCAAGCAAATCACTAATACAAAGCATTTTTTTATTTCTTACTTCAAATAAAAACACACAAAAAAGAAACCCACACATTAAGTGCATTTCTAATTAAAACAAACTTACATGAAAACATTTTAAAGAAGCCCCTACAGCTTTCACTTACCTTGCTATAAAAGCAGAAAACAACTTTACTTCTCTTTTTCTTAGCCATTATTTTCATATGCATACTTTTGTTATAGCTAGCTTATTTATCTTTTCCTCCAACATTTTTCATCACTATCTACTACATACACACTAAAACACAGACTGAGAAAAATTTAAAACTTTCACACTTACAAACCATTACATTTTCTTGCTCTGGCACCAAAAAATCAGCTATCCCTCTCTCCTGCTTTTTAACTTGTGTTCTGACCCAGGGACTGATTAATCTCACCTGCTGCACACCTATGTTCTGAGCTCCCTGGGGGCTTGCACATGCTGCACACCTGTGATTCACAGACAGGCTCTACTCACCAATTTTCCAATCACCCAGCTGGGAAATTAAAGCATGGTGTTTCACTGGCAGGTTTTTCAGAGGAAACTAAATAAAATACAGCATTCGTAGGTGGCTTTTTATCTTTCCTGTTAGAAAGGGTGTGAGCTCTGAAAGTAAGAAGAGATTGTTGTTGGTTTATGAGGGTTTTTTTTTTGTTAGACTTGCTTGTGCTGCTGTAGTTGATGGGATATTTTCTTTTTTAGAAGAGTTCTCTAGGGGCTTTGCTGGAAAATTAAAGTGTTGTGGTATAAAAATGCTTAAAGTACTTGCTGTTAATGAGAATGAGACTTGGTATGCTTTACCCTGGTTTGCCTTTTGCTATAAAATCAATAGCACAATGTAAGTAGTTCATGTTGTACTCAGTGTGTAGGTGTTGTAGCAACTACATAAAGTTAATAAAGACTAAAAATACTGTTCTTGTATATCAAGAACTCTTTATCAACTTTTTATTCTTCAAGGTAATAATGTAGAGCATAGTTACAGGCTCATGTACAAAATAAGGGTACCTGAAAAAGTAATAACAATATATTCCTCTTGAACAGACATAAAAATAAATGTTGAGTCATGAGCTGTGTGGACCAAGGCATTTCAAACTAGCTAGAGCTTTAAGGAGCTTTTGGGCTGGCTGTTGGGGTTTTTTAGTGATACACTTACTGCAAGTGCTAAAGCTTGTTGTAAGTGAGACTTTTTGCTAATATTAAATGACTAATAGTGCTTTTATGATCAATTATTGAAGTCTACTTGAGAGATGAGAGCTGCTTAAACAGCAGCTGTTTTATAAGTCAATATCTGAGTTCTAATGTAATATAAAGCAGCCTTGCAGTATCTTATATAAAGAGTTTTATCTTCTATCTTAATATTCCTTGGTGTCTGTTTTGAGTTTTCTTTGTCAGAAACTGGTCTGTTTGTGTGGTTTGCCTTTCCTTTGTCAGAGCAGTGGGTTTTTTTTGCTTTTTTTCAGTTGTAAAGCCAAAAGCTGAACAGAACATGGTTTTGCTCAAGAGATTCAAAGTGCTCCTCTGGCTCTCAGGGGGATGAACCCTGTTCTTCTACTGGCTGTATAAAAAACTTTCTTAAATAATTTAAACTGCATGAGGTAAGTTTGTATTGGGAATCTCAGAGAATAGGCTTAATGAAGAATCAACACAAGAGGCTAGCTGAGTTGCAATAGTCTCTGTTATGCTACATAATAACATTTCTGAAGAAAATACGGTTTTTGCATACATTTTGGGTGATGGGGGTGCTAGAGCTGCTGTTGCTGGCTGTACACAACACCATTTAGTGTAGAGAAGACAGGGTACAGCTCTGCAGCAATGCAGGGCAGCTACATCTCAAGGAGTGGTTTCCCTGGAGCAGGAGGAGCAAGGTGAAAGTAATAACCTGATGCTGAAAACAAAAGCAGGATTTAGAGACAGGGTCCCTTCTATAGGCTTCTATGAGTTGAGGTGCAGGAACAAGATAATAAGTGCTGGCCAGGCTCTTGGGGCATACAGACTTAAAAGAGCATATTTTCCTGGGAGGGGTTGCTTATGCAAATATGAAAGGGGCTGGAACTGAGACAGCACCAGAGAAGACCACAAGAAAGCTGGTCTGCAGCCCATGAGGATTTCTACAGATGTTTGTATGCAGCTATTTTAATGTGAACCTACCCCAGACTTAAAAGTCGGGGCCTGTCAGCAGCAGTACAGGAACCCTGAAAATTTCACTCAGTCTGTGAAAGCTTTTAATGAAACCCTTTTCCTTAATGCTTATGATAACAAGCATCAGTTTCACTCTTTTTTCTGAGAAGTGTCAGATACCTGTCTCCCATGCTGTGCTAGCGTTGTATAGTAATGACTGAAAGCATCCCCATGCCTATCAGAAGATTTTTTTTGAGGAAAAAAAGTGCTGCAGATAGGACCTGTTCCTGCAAACACAAACAAAGGTCCTAAGAGGATGTGCTGGTGCGGGTGGCATGTGTGTCCCTCTGTGTACTTACACCAGCCCTCAGCAGCCTGTTGCTGGAGTTGCTATGCAAACGAGCGAGATGCCCTTGCTGTAACAGGCATGGACACCAGAGGGAGAATCCCCACAGCATAAATAGCTCTGGAGGAGCTTCCTGAAAGGGCTGAACGTAACCTGAGAACAGGTTGTGGAATGGCTTGTCCAAGGTGATGAAGAGATGTTGCATGCATGGCCTCCCCTCTCATTCTCCAGGTCCCCCTCCTCCCCTGTGCGCATCCCTGACACATCCCAGCTCTGTGGATTTCAGCGGAGGCTGGGAAGCAAGTGCAGGGTGACAACACTTCTCTCTGCCTTGGTTTCTGATGCATTGATTCTATTAAAGCAAAGCCGCGTGCTGGGTATTTGCAGCATAGCTTGGGACATCTTCTGTCAGACTCGTAATGCAGAGAGACAAGCTCAGTGCTGCTTGGCTTCTGGAGAGCGGGGGAAGGGATTCAATGTACTTTTCTCCATTGATTTATGTCCTGCACTGAAAATCAATGGTGTTCTCTCAGATCCACTCAGCTGTTTGAAAACCAGCAGCCTGGTTGGTCAAGTGTGTGGGGAAAGTTCTGAAGGGATCATCTCTTATGCTATGGGTAGATGGGATCGATAGAGCTGCTCTGGAGGAACTGTTCTGTTCACCCGATAGCAATTGCTTTTTATCATCAGCCTGTGTTAGTCAAATGTGCTGTTTGAAACATTTTCTTGGTGTTACTCTCTATTGGAGAGGAGGAGCCAATGCTACTTTTGTTTGTGTATGAGGCTTTGTCCTCACAGTTGTTACGGCAGAGAAGGAGTGGAGCATCTGAGCTAGTTTTTAAAATTTATGCACTTGCTAACTGCGATAGTGTGAGTCTGAAGATGGGCTGTAAAGGTCTCTTGGGCTGGCTTAAAATGGCCTTTGGAAATGAGTTATAAGTTCCATCCCACAGCAGTCACTAAATGTAGACAGCCAATTTCTGCTTCATTTGGCTTTTCCTCTTGTCAGTGAAGCACGGATAAAATGCATAATTAAATCAATTTTTAGGAATTTTTTTCTCCTAGAAACTCAAGGGGAAAACTATGAAGCAAATGGAGAAAGTCTTCCAGCAAGACTAAAAGCTTTAATTCTGCAATTTGCTAGCTACAAAAGAGAATAAAGATAATGTATACATGTGAGTGTGTTTATCATTCTAAAGAGTGTGTGTGCTTTTTTCCAAGAGTCTTTCTCTAGCTCTTGAGTGATGAATCTGATATTTTTTTTTTCATGCTGGATTTTTACTGCCTCCAAACTTAACTGTTTTGACACTAGAGAAATCCTCTTGGTTTTCCTCCAAAGGTAAATATATAAATATGGTACTGCTAGAAATTAGCTCTACCTCACCCACATGACTGGTCTTCACTATTAATCCCAGCTGATGGTAGGGAGGGGCTCTTCTGGGAGGCAGCCATGTGGTGAACATTGAGCACAGTGTTTTCCCCTGCTTCTCTCCTTTTCAGACAAGCAAAATTGTTCTATGCTGCCGTAGATGTGAACTCCTTGCTGCGCTGTTTCTGTCTCTTCTTTTCCAGAAACTCAGGGGCCTGAATTACCAGCTGCGGAGATTTAAAAGCTCTCACAGAATCTGGATGGAATATGGACAAGGAGATGAATAGCAGAAGGGAAGAAAGAGTGAAGTTGGTTATTTTTCTGGCACATGGATGCAATTACACTCAGTGCATTCCAGAGGCGTTCCTTTGAATCCTGTGCAGGTCTGCCTGCTGTTCCTGGGAGAAAGGAAGAAAAAGGGAGGAAAAGTCCCTCTTGCTTGGAGACGGAATGTCTGCACTTTCAATTCTCTTTTTAGGTAGGTTTGCTTTTTGGTTCTGTTAAGCGTTTTTAATCAAACTTCCCCATGCTCTCTCTGCATGGCTGAGATTCATTTCTGGTGAGCTAGAGAAAGGGATCTGTAAAGAAAAAACTTTTATGGAAAACTCTAGTTTCAGTGTTGTTTGGGTTCTGATGCTTTTCTTGTTGCTTTATTTATTAGCAGGTTGATAGCCAGAGATCTTTTAATGTCTGGATTCATTTTTTAGAAGTGGTGGTTAAACAGACTCCTTTGAGAATGTATGTTTCTTGTTTAAAGAGGGCAGCGCTTTTAGAGCCATGAACTAGTGAGGGGCTTGAACCTCTGGCGAAACAAGGTGAACAAAATGTCTTTGTTTCAGGCAGAGTGTCAAATTTGTTTAACTGTGTTTTGATTTGCTTGGCTATTTAACATTCAGATTTTAAAATAAAAAGGGGTTATTGTTTCCAAATTGATGCCTAAGATTAGAAACAGATGTGTTGAAGTGTGAGAGGGAGGAGTTGGGGGGGAAAGGATAGGAGAAGGGAGATAAAGGAGGAAGGCAAGAAATGGGAAGAAAGAGGGCTAGTGAAAGAAAAGAGGTAGAGGTTGACTGTTGAATAGGAGAGGAGTGGAGAACAGCAAAGGAGATGTTAAAGGAAGGGGAGAGTAAAGGCAGAAGGGCTGAAGAGAGCTGTTTGTTAAAGCCACAGCCGATGGAGAAAAGAGTTTGCAGCCCTGAGGACTTTGAGGGGGGGCTGCCTACAAGACTGACTCAGAAGCAGCCTGGGTTTCTGCATTTCCACAGGCACCCTAATGTGATGAGTGAGCTGCTGTCTCCATTCTGCCCACCACATCGTGCTGACAGGCAGACAGCTTTGAAATCTGCAGTGGCTGGGCAAAGGCTGTGATTCCTGGGTCCTTTTCCCCAGGAACCTGGGTACGGGTGTGAAAAGTGGGCTGGTCTTTGATTCCCTGGGAAGAGCTGAGCCCCACAAGGTGATGGGCTGATGTGGCTGGGCACAGGTAGAGGTTTTGGACAGCTATAAAGAAGCATTGCAGGGGACAGCCCTGTTCCTCAAGTCTCACAGGTGTGGAACAAGGACTAGCCAGATTTTTAGGTATCTGAAAGACAGGCAGCATTTGTAGAGCTGCTGAATACATTGTAGAAAAGACTTTTACTCTAGGGATTGCTGCTAGCAAAGGTTTTATCTGTAGGAATGTGGCAGGGGCTTGGACATGCTGTAGGATCTGCAGGGGAGTGCAGGCAGCAGTTTGGCCCCCCTGCACATCTGCCTTGGTCATTTGTGTCTCAATATAGTGGAGATAGTGTCTAAAGAAGACTCCAGGAGATGAGATGGCAAGATTAGGATGAACAGTGAGGGTCCTGCCAAAGGTGTCTGGGCTGGGTCAGCCCTGCAGAAATGGCCAGGAAAGCTGCTCTGTGGAAATATATTCCCATATGTTGAAGGCTTGGAGCAAAAGGAATGAACTGTTGCCACAGGAAAGGTGTTTTTGGCTATAATGTAATGACAGCTTACCTTGGCATGATGAGTGCTGCTTTTACCTATAAAACACAATAGGCTTTATCTTTGTGTCTGGTTTTCTGCAGTAGAAAGGTATCCAAGTGCCAGTGATTGCTTGCTTTTCTTCCTGATAGTCAAGAGACTGGTGGGGAAGAAAGGGTTTAGAGAAGCCAAGTGAACTTGAAGGTTGCCTGGTTTGGGTTTTCATTACTCAACATACTAACAGCATGTCTCATACAGTCCTTGTCTTACACTGTTTAGCTCTCTGGGGTGAGTGAACAGCTGTGTGAGGAGACAGGAAACAAAAGCCAATTAGTTTTAAGGAGACTTTTAAAACAAGGCAAGATGAAAGACCTTGCCGAAGTGTGGGCAAGAGCATGACCATGCTTACTTCCCTAGTAAAGGCTAGGTAAATGAAGCAGGGAGGAGTGGGAGGTGATGTGTGTGCCTACATGTGTGTGACATCTGATTTTCAGCTCAGTCCACAACTGGTCAAAATTGTTTCAAACTCCTGATGGTAATATACTGTACTCTTAAAAATCAAAATGGAAAATTACGAGGGAAATATCTGATCTTTCACTTCTGAGTGTAAAAACTTCATGATAGGATGTTGCATTCCCTAGCCAGTAAAAAAACTAGCAAATGCTTTCATTTAAATGTTTTACTGAATTGGTTTAAGTTTTCAGGTGCTGGAAGTTGTCTTTGCCTTCTTTCACCCCCTCCAAGTCAATTTTGAATGTTTTTGATGAGCGAAGTACTCAAGTAAAGAGCCAGTTTTCTTGCAATCACATGTTCCCATGGGTGATGCTTCTATGCCTGGCTTTGACACCAGTATTACAGGCTTTTTCTTCACTTGTTGGCTAGTGTATGTGCTCTGCCCTTCAGAAACCAATGGGTTAAAAATCCAAAGCAGTAGATGTGCCAAGCTAAATAAGTCATGCAGATTTCTGGTGTCCTGCTATTTGCAGTGAACCTTTCCCTTAGTGTTAGGGGTTGCTCACCACAATGCACGTGTAGTCTGGTTTATTGTCTGACAAGGATGTGTTCAGCGTGTTGGAATCGGTATGTTATACAGGGGTGATGCTGCTGGAGTGGGTGCAGCTGCAATATCAAAAGTACCTTTTGTAATGATGGAGCTGAGCTCTGCCCTCTAAGCTCTGAGGTCAGTGACTCTTACAGCTCTGTCCCAGGGGCAGGCAGTTGCTGCATTGAACACCAGGACTCTGATTGTCTCACTGCACTGGGAAAAAGGTTATGGTGCAGATCCTTCCAGTGAGCGATTGGGTCTGACAGCATGCATTTGCCGATGTATTCACCAGACTTCTAGCTTGAAAATCTGTGATGATATGGAAGCAGCTCTGCAGCATTCAGCAGGGGTAGGTCAGCCTGAGGCTGTGCTCTAGTAGACTGATGCTGGCCTTCTCTCTTGCTTTAAGAGCACAGGCAACTTGCAGTGTGCCCTATCACACCTCCTTGAGATCTTTCTCCTGAAACCTGTGCAATGCTATGCTCCAGCAGAGCCAAGAACCACTGCAATGTAATTTTTTCAAAAAAGCACTCCCGCTCCCAGTGAGGTTACTGTGAAATTTTACATTTGAATTGAATGCTTCTGCCTGGAATTAGTAAAAAGCAAGGGAGAATGTTTTAAGCAACCTGAAAATTAAGCTGATGGATATTTGAGCTGGTTTTCCAGGTATTTCCCAAATTTCTCAGCAGTACCTAACAGTATATAATACACTTGCTCTTTCCTAGTTGTGTTATGGCTCCTTATCTTTTTGCCTTTGCCTTTTTGTTTCATGGTGTACTTAGAAGCTTGGTGGGACAAGGATTTTTGCCCCATGTTTTTACAGCACTTAAAAACAAAGCTTTGGCTCTGGAGTGGGGTACAAAAAAAAATCCTTTAAAATACCTGTGAAAAAGGGTTTTGGGTGTGATTTGGCTGTTTGGGTTTCACCTTCTCTTTGTGTCATTGGATTCTGAAGGAACGCAGGTGACTTCTTGGTATATTTGGCTTGAAAGAGTATTCTCCCAAGGACAGCTTCATATAACTGATAATTGAGTGCTCATTTCTGTTGTGAAAACTTCAAAAGCAGTCAATAAAACATCAACTCTATGCAAGATTCAGCCTGTTACAGTAGTGTGAATTTAGTTCTAGGTCAGGGCAAAGAGCTCCTTAACAGAACACTACTCTAGGAATACCTAAGGAAAGGGAGCAAAGAAAAGCAGTGTATCCATTTGGCACTCCAGGGAGAATTCAAAGGAGCTAGACATAATTAAGCAAGTTGTTATCTGGCAGGATATCAGGGTTAACACTCCTTGTGAGGCACTAAAATTCTTCTAAAGCCATGGATGGTTTGCATCAAATATTGTCTGTCAAGACCCTTGACAAGAAATGGCCTATTTTTCTCTAGTACTGCTTTGTTTTTATGAAATAGTTTGGATTTTTCACATCTTAAAAAAAAATCTTTGTTTTGGGTGTTATTTTTATCCTTTGTTTTTTTCCATTTTACCATGAGAAAGAAAAGGAGAAAAAAGGTAACCTTCCAGAGTGAGGAAACGCAACATGCCAAAGATGAGTTGAAATAGATGAATTCATTTCACAGAAATAGAGCTGGGGGTGAGGCAACTTTTCACAAATTGTGGAAAACAATTGGTGTTTTGCCTGTGTGCCCATCCTGGACTTTGTCTCCTCGGTGTAGAATTAGTGGTCTGTTTCTGTGGGGTACTCTGGCCCACTTCAGAAGGATGTTTTTTGTAAGAGCAGCACAAGCTTCCCAGAAATGTCATTGCACAACAGGCTTGGGGGTACCCTGATGTTTATCCTCAGGAACACAACAAATGCCCCTGTTTTCCTCAAGGCAAATGTGGAGCTTTATAGGGAACTTACCACGTTTGCAATCTGGGATTGATTTGAGTTTTCAGGAACTGCCTGAAAGAAATATAAACAGTTTCTGACCAAGCCTTGTATTTGAAAAAAATCTTTTGTGTAAGTGTGCTTGCTCCACCATGCTAAATGATGGCAAGTGTGTGTCTAGTACCAATGGAGTGGGGTGCTGCAAGCTGCTGTCTGTGCCTTTTCTCTTAAGAAATAGTCCCCACAGCCTTAGACTATACCTTAGGTTTCTAGCTGAACTGGTCCTGTGTTAGCCAGGGCAGTAGCCATTGCTTGTTTGTCTGTAATGTATTTTATATGCTTGCAGAGAAATCTTGGCTCACGTGCACACGATATTGGGCATATCTTGCACTAATGTGTTACAAAAGAGGCTGCTTTGGGTGCAGTGGGAACTTGGCGGTGCCCAGACTAAAAGATGAATGGGTTTTTTTCCCCCCAAAGCTGTTTTTTCATCTGTTTTTAGAAATCGGTGGTTTACAGAAGCAGCCCAGCAAAAAGCCAAGGGTGAAGTCAGGTCACTGAGGTCTGTGAATAGATACTTAAATGACAGGATAGCAGAGGATGCAGAAATGGCTGTGCAGGAAGCACAACAATGGAAAATG